TATATATATATATTGCTACAAGTATCTTGTTTAAGGATGTTTAAATATTCAAATGGAAAACAAGACCCAAAAAATACCCAATAAAAATGACTTTTGCAACCAAAAGGCACTCAATTACTTTTAGACTAGTTTTATCACATACTAATAGTGCATATATTATTAGAGAGAATTAACAATAAAAAAATAACTAAAGGTCAGGTTGTTCTGTCTGCAGGCTGTGTGTTGTAAGGATAGATTCCACTGCTGTCCACACGGCACCATTTGTGACTTTGTAACACTCACCTGCAATAGCAATACCACCAGGGGCGGATTTAGTGAATTGGGGGCCCCAGGCAAAATATAGGAATGGGGCCCTATACATTTGCACACATTTTCCTAGATCAACCTTGAGGTTCCTTTTTTGTTGTGATGCTTGCTGCTGCACAATGGTGCCCCATAGTTGTGTCCAATGTTTCTACATTTTTCATGTACATGTTATAATGGCTTTCTTTCATGCTGTAGACCACGAAATAGCAACTGATTTACAGTTGAGATACAGGTTTTCACAAAAATAAAATAAATGATAAAATGATAAACCTCACAATTGAGTGTTTAAACCAGGGATGAGCCAGAAGTATAAATTATTATATTAATTTAAAACGGGGTTATGTGGGTGGATTTTCGCATTGATCTGAACAAAAACTACAGACTGGATAATTGAAAATGAACATTCATTCTTTGCCAGTAGGAGGCGCTTTTGTAACGTCAGAAATATAGAATGAGAAAAGTGTGAAAAAATATAGCCTATATTGACGAGGAAAGTCCACTGATGAGTTACCAGCGTAAGCCTGTATGCAAAGGCTGTCTAATTCTAAACTTTAAAATACATTTATTTTTAGTTATTTTAACTACAAATTTAAATAAAACTGAAAAAAAGAATGAAAAGGCAATTATACATTTACACACCTAAGGATTAGGTCCTCTATACTTTCTCATAAATGAGTAAGCGGCATTTAAAACAATTATAAACATATAATACACACT